CACCTGTAATCCTAGCTACTCAGGAGGCTGAGATCTGAGGATGACAGTTCAAAGCCAGCCCAGGCTAGAAACTCCAGGAGACTCTTATCTCTAATAAAGGAAGTGGCGCTGTGGCTTGAGTTGTAGAGTGCTAGTCTTGAGCTGAAGAGCTGGGGGACAGTGCCCGGGCCCAGAGTTCAAGCCCCACAACTGACAAAAAAAATGTAATAAAATGTTGAGGCATGGCTTAGATGACAAGAACACCAGCCAGTGAGTGAAAGTCAGATATGGAATTCAAGTCCCCATCTCAGAAAAAAAAAAGATACATACATATTATGTAATATATATGTATATATATATAGTGTGTGTGCATACCTTATATATACATGTATATGTATGTTATATACAGTGTGTGTATATAAAGCTGAGTGCTGGTGGCTCATGCTGCCTGTAATCCTAGCTACTCAAGAAGCTGAGATCTGAGGATTGCAGTTCAAAGACAGCCTGGGCAGGAAAATCTAGGAGACTCTTTTTGTTGTTGTTGTTGTTGGTAATGGGGCTTGAACTCTGGGCCTGAGGCGCTGTCCCTCATCTCTTCAGCTCAAGGCTAGCACTCTACTACTTGAGCTACAGTGCCACTTCTGGTTTTCTGGTTTACTGGAGATAAGAGTTTCCCGGACTTTCCTGCCTGGACTAGCTTTGCAGTACTCAGATCTCAGCCTCCAGAGTAGCTAGGATTACAGGCGTGAGCCACTGGCACGAGACCAGACTCTTATCTACAATTAACCAATAGAAAACCAGAAGTGGAGCTATTGCTCAAAGTGGTAAAGTGTTATCCTTTGTTTTTTTTTTTGTTTTTTGGCCAGTCCTAGGGTTAGACCTCAGGGTCTGGGCACTGTCCCTGAGCTTCTTTTGCTCTAGGCTAGCACTTTTTTTTTTTTTTTGGGTCCGGTCGTGGGACCTGAACTCTGGGCCTGGGCGCTGTCCCTCAGCTCTTCAGCTCAAGGCTAGCACCCTACCACTTGAGCCACAGCGCCACTTCCAGCTTTTTTCTTATGTGGTGCTGAGGAATCGAACCAGGGCATCCAGCATGCAAGGCAAGCGCTCTACCACTAACCCACAGTCCCAGCCCATAGAGTTCTATCTTTGAACAAAAGAGCTCAGAAACAAACCCTATGACTGAAAATAAATAAATATATATATATATATTGGGGGGGGCGGTCATAGGGTTTGAACTCTGGGCCTGGGTGCTATCCCTCAGCTCTTCCACTTGGGCCACAGCGCCACTTCCGGTTTTTTGGTGGTTTATTGGAGATAAGAGTCACAGGCTTCCGAACTCAGATCTCAGCCTCCTGAGTAGCTAGGATTACAGGCCTGAGCCACCGACATCTGGCTTATATATATATATTATGATAAAAAAAACTCGGGGCTGAGATCTGAGGATCACTGTTCAAAGCCAGCCTGGGCAGCAAAATCCACGAGACTCTTCTCTCCAATAAACTACTTTAAAATGGAGTTGTGGCAGAAGTGATAGAGCAATAACCTTGAGCAAATAAAGCTCAGGTACAGTGTGCAGGCCCTGAATTCAAGCCCCAAGTGGGCCCCCAGGACCCACTTGGTGTGCATGCGCACACATATGCACATGTACACATACATACAAACAAGAAAGAAAATGTAGGCAAAAGCAGTAGATACAAACCTAAGTACCCTGGGAAAATAAGCCCACAATTCTTTAACAAATTGGGTCACACTGAGCAATCTGGATATTCACTGAGTATCATTCCGTTTCAGTAATATTTACAGCATTATTCTCCAAGGCTACATAATTTGATAAACATTCAATAAAAGCTCTGATACTAGAAAAAGAAAACACAGGGCTGGGAAGGTGGCTCAGTGGTAGAGTGCTTGCCTTGCATGCCTGAGACCCTGGGTTCGATTCCTCAGCACCACATAAGCAGAAAAAAAAGTCAGAAGTGGCGCTGTGGTTCAAGTGGTAGAGCACTAGCCTTGAGCTGAAGAGCTGAGGGACAGCACCCAGGCCCAGAGTTCAGGCCCCACGACCGGGCCCAAAAACAAAGAAAACACATACTCAGCTCTCCATTTTATAGTTACATTTTAATGACAAATTTGTGAAAGTAAATATGCCATATTACTGTAGGTCATTTGCTTAAGAATTTATTTTTACAGTACAAAACTAATTTTTCCATTAATGTAACATACAACATCTCTAGCTGATTTTTCAGTTCCAGCCACGTATGACCTGCATTAACGTGACCAGTTAAAATAAACAATACTTTTTTTGTAAAAACAAAAATTTCAGGACGGGCTGGGAAGGTGGCTCAGTGGTAGAGCGCTTGCCTTGCATGCCTGAGGCCCTGGGTTCGATTCCTCAGCACCACATAAGAAAAAAGCTGGAAGTGGCGCTGTGGCTCAAGTGGTAGAGCGCTAGCCTTGAGCTGAAGAGCTGAGGGACAGCGCCCAGGCCCAGAGTTTAGGCCCCACGACCGGACCCCAAAAAAAAAAATTCAGGACATTGGTAGCTCACACCTATAATCCTAACTACTCAGAAGACTGAGTTCTAAAGGTCATGGTTTGAAGCTAGCCCAGAGGAGAAAAGTCCTGTGAGACCACCCCTCTCCCCACCCCACACACTTATCTCCAATTAACCAACAAAAAGATGGAAGTGAAGGTAGAGGGGTGAAGGCCATCCATGAGGGCAAGAGCCTGAGGCTCTGAGTTCATGCCCCAGCACACACACAGAAATTATAGAGTAATATAATTTGTGCAATGCCACCTATCTTCAAAGCAAATCCAAGTTATAATTAAAGATCAATTTTAGATGTATATTTTTTGCTGATCTTGGGGCTTGAACCCAGAGCCAGGGCTCTTTCACTGGAGCTCTACCTTTGGTGCTTAATTGGCGATGAGTTTCTGGCTTTGAACCTCCCTCCTCAGATCTCAGCCTGAGTCACTCAGATGACTGGTGTAAAGCACCAGCGCCCGGTGCATTTAATTTTAGGATTTTAAAAAGAAAGGGAGCATTTACCGACGTGCTCTGGACTGTGCAAGGTGGCGAGGCTGGCCCAACGGAAACGGGCCGCTTCCCCCCACCCCTCCCGCACACCGCGCCGTCCTCGGTGGAGCGCGCTGGCGGGGGCCGGCCCGCTAGGGAACGCCCGGCGCCGGCCCGGCAGCGCGCAAGCCTTCTATGGGCATGGGCAGCCGCCGGTCCCCGCGGGCCGGCTCACCGGGCCTCCCTCCCGTGCTGCCCCGGAGGTGTGGACCGGGGCATTCTCAAGACCGGGATAGCGGAGGGAGACCGCGGGTCATCTGAACGGAAGGAGACAAGATGTCTCCTCCCGGGTCGAGCCCGCGCCCCCCCAGCAGCGCTGGCCGGCTCCGGGCCCCGGCCACCGTGGGTGGGC